AAAATGAGTATTTAAATAAGATACTTCACCCGAGAAGATACGGTTATGGCTATAAGCTACATGAAAGGGTGCTGAACCATAATTAGTCATTAGGAAAATGCAAATTAAAATCACAATGAGATATTATTTTACATCTATTAGACATGCTATAATAAAAAAGACAGACACTAACAAGTGTTGTTGAGGATGTTGAGAAACTGGAACCTAAATACAGTGCTGATGGGAATGTAAAATTCTACTATCACTTCGGAAATCAATTAACAATTTCTTAAAAAGTGAAACATAAGTTTACCCACAATAAATAAATGACCTATCAATTTTATTCCTACGTATCTATTCAAAAGAAATGAAAACATATGTCTACCAAAAAACTTATGTATGTGTGTTCATAGCAGCATTATTCATAAGAGCCAAAAATTGGAAACAATCTAAATGACCATGAAATGGTGATTGGGCAAACAAAGTGTGGTATATGCAAACAGTAGTATGCAATTGGCGATAGGAAGGAAGAAACGACTGATACATCCTATAACATGACTGAACCTCAAAAGCATTATGTAAAATGAAAAAAAAACACATAAAAGACCACATAAAATATAATTCCATTTTATGAAATATCCAGAAAAGGCAAAAGCAATTGAGACAGAAAACAGATTAGTGATTGTCTAGGGCTGGTGTTGGAAATTAATATTGACTGCAATGGGTATGAGGAATCTTTCTGGGATGATGAAAATGTTCTAAAATTGGATTGTGGGGCCCAGCTGGCGTGGCTCAGTGGTTGAGCATCTACCTATAAAGCAGGAATTCATGGTTTGATTTCTCAGTTGGGGCACATACCCAGGTTGCGGGCATGGTCCCCAGTGTGGGGCATGCAGGAGGCAGCTGATGAATGATTCTCTCTCATCATTGATGTTTCTATCTCTCTCTCCCTCTCCTTTCCTCTCTGAAATCAATAAAAATATATGTTAAAAAATAAAATTGGATTGTGGTGATGGTTGCACAAGTCTAAATTTACTAAAAGTCATTGATTTGTACACTTTAAATGGGTGAATTAAAAAAGAATCCTCACCTAAGGATGTGTTTTTATTGCTTTTCTAGTGAGAGGAAGGGAGAGGAACATTGATGTGAGAGAGAAACATTTATTTATTGCCTCCCGTATGTGCCCTGGGATCGATTCCACAACCTAGGTATGTACCCTGACCAGGAATCAATTTGGCAACCTTTTGAAGTATGGGATGACATTCCAACCAATTTAGCCACCTGGCCAGGGCAAATGGGTGAATATTATGGTATCTATATTATACCTCAATAAAGTTGAATTTTAGAAAAAGTAAAAATCCATTTCCAATGTATTAAACCATCCTTACTTTTTTTTTCCTCTTCTTTCTTCTTGTCTTCAAGCAAAGAGGTACTAATTACACTCAACCTCTTGACATTGCTCTCGATAGCTTTGAACGTTTTTGGTAAAATCTCCATTTGTGTTATGCAGTGGTGGTGTTCATCAATATCAACTTCAGTCATATCAGACAAAATGGCATCTTGAAGAGAGTAAGAAAATTACTTTTGTTCAGAAAAATAAATAATTGTAACCATATGGGCTTATAATATTGACTATTCAATGTTGTAGTATTTTGGAATAAAGGTATCTCATATTTATTGCTATTCTGAGACCTTTTTCTTATGAGGAAATGAAAAAGAAAGAGACTTAAAATAGAGGCTTGAGCCATAGCCGGTTTGGCTCAGTGGATGGAGTGTCAGCCTTCGGACTGAAGGGTCCCAGGTTAGATTCCGGTCAAGGGCATGTACCTTGGTTGGGGGCACATCCCCAGTGGGAGGTGTGCAGGAGGCAGCTGATCGATGTTTCTCTCTCATCCATGTTTCTAACTCACTATCCCTCTCCCTTCCTCTCTGTAAAAAAATCAATAAAATATATATATTTTAAAAAGAATAGAGGTTGAACAGTAAGTCTTGAACATAAAAATAAGAATCACATTAAAAGATGTCTATTTGGTTTAAATTCCAGAGAAGTAGGTATCTAAAATGTGAACATGTGTTTTAATATTGGGGATCTAAGCCCCAATTAAATCCTTTGGCAAGTGAATCTACTCTTTTATAACCCCTGTTACATGAGATTTCTTGCAACCAAATTAAATTCCTCTTTTTTGTATTTATAGTTTATTCATTCTTTCATTCAATCTATGTGTCCTCTGTCAAGTTCTCTTCTAGATTTTACGGATAAAACATTGAATAAAACCAATTCCCTGACTTATAGTACTTATATTATAGTGAAAGGAGACAGACAAAAAATAAATAAAAACATTAATTATATAGTATGTCAGATGGTAAGAAATGGTATAGACAAAAATAAAGAAGCGTAAAGAGAAATGGACATGGGATAGAGAATGGGGATGGTCAGAGAACACCTAATTTTATTTCATTTTCCATTTTCAAAGATGTTTAATAGCAGCATTATTTTCTATTAAAGTAAAGCAAAGTTCAAATGCCCAAAAATAACTATGTTTAACACTAGGTATCCTATCTAATAAAAGAGAAACATGGTAATTAGCCGTACAGCCGCTACCCTTCCCATTGGCTAATCACTGAGATATGCAAATTAACTGCCAACCAAGATGGCGGCCGGCAGCCAGACAGCTGACGCGAACAGGGAGGCTTGTTTGCTCTAGTGACGGAGGAAGCCAGGTTCCCCGCCTGCCTTGCCAGACTATCAGCTGCTCTCTAAGAAACATTGTAACAAATATAGAAGCTAAACAAAACCCCAGAAACCTGCTTTAGTCAGCCAGGCTTCAGCCAGCAGGACTGCAACATTGTTTCAAATACAGAAGGTAAACAAAGGCCAGAAACCTGCTTTTAGCAGTGGAGGTCTCATAGCTGGAGCCGAGCCTCAGAGCTAAAGCTGGCCCAGAATAAAGAAAAAAAGGAGCGGTTGGGAGCTTCAGTCACCCGCCAGCCTGAAAACAGCCCTCAGCCCCTCACCCAGACTGGCCAGGCACCCCAGTGGGGACCCCCACCCTGAAGGGGGTGTGACCAGATGCAAACAGCCATCAGCCCCTCACTCAGGCTGGCCAGGCACCCCAGTGGGGACCCCCACCCTGATCCAGGACACCCTTCAGGGCAAACCAGCCGGCCCCTACCAATGCACCAGGCCTCTATCCTATATAGTAAAAGGGTAATATGCCTCCCAACACCGGGATCAGCGGAGCAGCGAGGCCTCCCGGCACCGGGATCAGAGTGACAGGGGGCAGCACCCAAACCCCCTGATCGCCCTGTGGCTCTGTGTGTGACAGAGGGCGGGGCCACAACCTCCCTATCCGCCCTGCTCTGTTCGTGACAGGGGAAGGCGCCCCAACCCCCTGATCAGCCCTGCTCTGTGCCTGATAGGGGGGAGCTCCCCAACCCCCTAATCGCCCTGCGGCTCTGTGTGTGACAGGGTGCGACGCCCCAACCCCTCCCCCCCACGGGCCCTGCTTTGTGTGTGACGGGGTAGAGCCATAACCTTCCCATCGGCCCTGCCCTGAGTGTGACAGTGGCGGTGCCCAACCCCCTGATGGGCCCTGCTCTGTGTGTGACATGGGGGAGCTCCTCAACCCCCTGATCGGCCCTGCTCTGTGTGTGACAGGGTACGGATCCCCAACCCCCCTGATGGACCCTGCTCTGTGCATGACAGGAGGCAGCACCCCAACCCCCTGATCGGCCCTGCTCTGTGCGTGACAGAGGGTGGCACCGCAACCTCCCCATCAACTCTGCCTTGAGTGTGATGGGGGCGGTGCCCCAACCCCCCAATCAGCCCTACCCTGAGCGTGACTAGGGGTGGCATCGCAACCTCCCGATCCGCCCTGCTCTGTGCATGACAGGGGGCAGTGCCCCAACTCCCCAATTGGCCCTGCTCTGAGCCCGACCAGGGGCTGCACCTAGGGATTGGGCCTGCCATCTGCCACCCAGGAGCGGGCCTAAGCCAGCAGGTCATTATCTCCCGAGGGGTCCCAGACTGCGAGAGGGCACAGGCCGGGCTGAGGGACCCCCCTCTCCTCCCCGAGTGCACAAAATTTTGTGCACCGGGCCTCTAGTCTATATATATAAAAAGCCAGTGACCATAATGCCGGAACGACCAGTCGCTATGATGCCCACTGCAGCCAGCGAACCCAGCCTGATCGGGGGCGTGGCCAGCCTGCAAACCCCCGGCGGCCCCCCAGCAGGGAACCCCACCCTGATCGGAGACCCCCATCAGGGCAGGCCAGCTGGCTGTCACCTGTGCACCAGGCCTCTAACCTATATAATAAATGGGTAATTCAAATTGACCCTAATGGGAGAACGACCAGAAAAACCACTGGACCAGTCACTATGAGGCACACTGACCACCTCTTGGTCCCTTTCCCCGGCTGACAGGCTCCAATCACCTGATGGCCACCCGCAGTGGGGGTGGGGCTGGTGAGCGGGTGGGAACAGCTGACCTCTCAGTCCCTTCCCCTGGCTGTCAGGCACCGATCACCCGATGGCGAATGGGGAACCGGGGGTGGGAGGGGGTGGGGCTGGCTGCGGGCAGCTGGGAAGATGGCCCTAATCACAGGCCAGGCCTAGGGACCATACCTGTGCATGAATTTCATGCGCCGGGCCTCTAGTATATATGAATACAGATCAAGGCTGCTGAGTAGACTATGGACTTAAATAAAGGTTTTATAGGTATAATTCATTATAATTTATTTTATGACTAAGAAAAAAGTCACTGTAGGAAAGAGATAGCAAAAATTTGTTTTTAAAAAATATTTTTATTGATTTCAGAGACCGAGGGAGAGGGAGAGAGACCGAAACATCAAAGATGAGAGAGAATTATTGATCTGCTGCCTCCTGCAGGCCTTCTACTGGGGATCTAGTCCACAACCCGGGAATGTGCTCTTGACCAGAATCGAACCTGGGACATTTTAGTCTGCAGGCATATGCTCTTCCACTGAGCCAAACCAAATTAAATAGTTTTAGAAAATAATTCTCTTTAATTTGGATGCCCCCACCACCTCACTCCCTGCCACCTGAGCTGACTTCCCATCATTGGACCAAAATGATGACTCTCTGCTAGGCAATTACAGCATGTCAAACCATTAGCCCCTGCTTCAGAGGAAAGAAAACACCCCATTTTAAAGCAAGATATAAGCAGAGAATGAGCCATGTGTCTACCTAGTAAAAAATGTTTAGGCAAGGGAATAGGAAGCATAAAGACACTGGGCAGGAGCATACTGGCATGCCTGAAGCAAAACAAGGAGGCCAGAATTATTGGCACTAAGTGAGCAAGCCATATTTTTATTACTTTACTAGTGTCCCAGTGCATGCATTCGTGCATATTGAAAGGAAATTAATTAGTCCCTCTGGTGCAGGGACTAATGCAGGCAGTCCTGAGTGGTGGCCAGTGAGGCAGGACTGGGTGAGACAGGCCAGACATGCCCTGGGGCCAACCTCCCACGGTCCCTCCCTGGCCAGCCGCGCCTGGCCCAGTGCTGCAGCTCAAAGGGCATCTGCGGAGTGAGCAGGGTCCCTCCAGCAGGTGGGGTCCCTTGGCCTGGCCTGGGGGATTGGGTCGAAACTGGCTCTCTGACATCCCCTGAGGGGACCCAGAGTGGGAGAGGAGTCACGAGGAATCGGGCTCCCTCCTCTCTAGTTCCGGGGTGCACCACTTGAGAACTGCCACTGCCAAGTGACCGCAGCTCTGCAGCTCCTGCATTGAGCATATGCCCCCTGGTGGTCAGTGTGCATCATAGCTACTGACCAGTCAGACTGTTGGGAGGTCGGATGGTTGCTTAACCTTTTATATATATAGATTCTTACTGAAATAGAGGACAACTCCTTAATACTTTCTTCTTTAGTCTACTAGTCCTTCAAAATTTACTTATAGATCCTGCTCTCTAGCTTTTTCATCAACTTTATGGTTTTCCTTCAAGCCACTTTTGAAAACTTACTCCATTCTTTCAACCAGGCCAGGATGTGGATAAGAATCTTTTCTTTAATGTCAGCAGAATTAGCACAAAAAGATACTTTCTCCAGCACCTTTGTTCTCTGTTTCTTATAGTCTGAAAGAGACACTTTCCTTCCAGTCTCCACAAACTCATCAAAAGTGTAGCGATGAACGATCCCCTGCACACTTTTCTTTATGTCACTCAGCTGAATATTAATGCCCTATAAGAATAAGAAAGGGGAATATATTAATAAATTTTCAGTTTGACAATAAGCTTTTGCCACCTTTCTTCCCAGAATGTCAGTGACAGTGATTATAAAGCTGTTGAATCAGAAACCAAGATGGCGGCATAGGTAAACACCGGAGATTACTGCCTCGCACAACCACTTCAAAATACAACTAAAAGATGGAACGGACATCACCCAGAACCACAGGAAGGCTGGCTGAATGGAAATTCTACAACTAGAAGGAAAGAGAAAAGCATACCAAGACTCAGAGGAGGTGCGGTGCAGAAGTAAAATACAAAGGTGCAGAGGCGCATGCGGAGAGGGCTGGTGGCTGAGGACACGGTTGTCTTTTTCAATCGGGAGGGAGTCTCAAGCTCTGAGCTCCAGTTCCGGGCGAGTCTCTGGGGACCCAGACTCATATGGGAGAAATGGGACTGTCTGGCATCAGTCGGAACTCGAGGGCAGCTTTCTCTCAGAGGTGCTCGCAGCAATTGCAATTGCCGGGAGCGGGGCCTCTGAGGGCAGGACTGAGAGCAGCTGTAACTGCTCACTCTGCCCGCCCTGTTGATCCCCTGGGACCCCGCCCCGCCCAAGCCATGCACGGAGGCTTTTGCATATGAAAGGCCCGGCTGGCCCTTTGCAATCTGAAAATTACTTAACAAACTGGAGCTGGCCTAAGGCCCCAAGGCAACTTGCATTGCTTCACAGCTGGCTTCTGCTGGGTAGCCTCAGGCAGAGGCTAGATTAGCACCTCCTTAGAGATACAGGAGCCAATGTGCCTGGTGGTCAGAGTGGGACCATCCAGATTGCAGCTCTTCAGATCCATAAAGGACACACTCAGGGGGCAGACTCAGTGAGCACCAAAACCCCACTGAAGCAAGTCTTGTCCCGGAGGTGTGTCTCTAGCACAGAAGTTCTCCCACTGAAGAAACAGCTGATTCTCACAGCCAATTGGCCTAGAGGTCAATCCCTCCCAGTGATACCTACAACAATCAAGACTTAACTACAACAAGACTGTGCACAAAGCCCACAAGGTGGTACACCAAGAGTGTCCACCTCAGGTAATTGGGGAGGCTGAGCCACTGGGCCCTATAGGACACTTAGCACAGAAAGCCACTCTATCGACACAGCAAAGCATAAAAAATGCCTAGACAAAGAAACAGGACACAAATGACAGAAATGGAGGAAAGCAAACTACTGGATATAGAGTTCAAAACCACACTTTTAAGGTTTTTCAAGAATTTTTTTGAAACCGCCGATAAACTTAATGAGACCCTCAAGAAATCTAGTGAGACCCTCGAGGTTGTGATAAAGGACCAACGAGAAATTAAACATACACTGACTGAAATAAAGAATATTATACATGCCCTAACCGGTTTGGCTCAGTGGATAGAGCGTCGGCCTGCGGACTCAGGGGTCCCAGGTTCGATTCCGGTCAAGGGCATGTACCTTGGTTGCGGGCACATCACCAGTAGGGGGCGTGCAGGAGGCAGCTGATCGATGTTTCTCTCTCATCGATGTTTCTAACTTCTCTCTATCCTTCTCCCTTCCTCTCTGTAAAAAATCAATAAAATATATTTTTTTAAAAAAAGGAATATTATACAGACTCCCAACAGCAGACCAGAGGATCGCAAGAATCAAGTCAAAGACTTGAAATACGAAGAAGCAAAAAACACCCAACCTAAAAAGCAAATTGAAAAAGAATCCAAAAATACGAAGATAGTGTAAGGAACCTCTGAGACAGCTTCAAGCGTACCAACATCCAAATTATAGGGGTGCCAGAAGAAGAGAGAGAGCAAGATATTGAAAACCTATTTGAAGAAATAATGACAGAAAACTTCCCCTACCTGGTGAAAGAAATAGACTTACAAGTCCAGGAAGCGCAGAGAACCCCAAACAAAAGGAATCCAAAGAGGACCACACCAAGACACATCATAATTAAAATGCCAAGAGCAAAAGACAAAGAGAGAATCTTAAAAGCAGCAAGAGGAAGACAGTCAGTTACCTACAAGGGAGTACCCATACAACTGTCAGCTGAATTCTCAACAGAAACTTTGCAGGCCAGAAGGGAGTGGCAAGAAATATTCAAAGTGATGAATAGCAAGAACCTACAACCAAGATTACTTTATCCAGCAAAGCTATCATTCAGAAGTGAAGGTCAAATTAAGAACTTCACAGATAAGGAAAAGCTAAAGGAGTTCATCACCACCAAACCAGTATTATATGAAATGCTGAAAGGTATCCTTTAAGAAGAGGAGGAAGAAGAAAAAGGTAAAGATACAAATTATGAACAACAAATACACATCTATCAACAAGTGAATCTAAAAAGCAAGTGAATAAATAATCTGATGAACAGAATAAACTGGTGATTATAATAGAATCAGGGGCATAGAAAGGGAGTGGACTGACTATTCTTGGGGGGAAAGGGGTGTGGGGGATGTGGGAAGAGACTGGACAAAAATCATGCACCTATGAATGAGAACGGGGGGGGCGGTAAGGGAGGAGGGTGGGAGGGGGAACCGGGTGGAGGGGAGCTATAGGGGGAAAAAAGAGGAACAACTGTAATAATCTGAACAATAAAGATTTAATTAAAAAATAAAATAAATAAATAAAGCTGTTGAATCAAAGTCCTACTAATTCTAGCTTTACTATGGATCTCAAATTTTCCTTCTTAAATTTTTTTTTCTGCCTTAATCATGCTAGCATTGCTATGATATAATTAAAAGAACACTGGGTTTGAAACCATTATCTGGGGCGATCCAAAACGGATGCAAAGTAAGTGGCAGCTACACACACCTCCTCCTGGCACCATACCAGATTTACAGTTAAATTATAAAGCAATCAACTGGAATGACCAACTGAAGAACAGTTGAATAGGAGTATTACATCCAAATATATATAAAAAGAAGCTACGTAGAGACTGGTAAGAAGGGCAGATACATGGAGAGGGCTGGCCCCAGCACCCAGGTACAGTGGCTAAGAAGCCAGAGGATATGTCAGCTGTAAAAGTCCCTCCTGAGGAGTGTGGGGTCTCAACCCCATGCCAGGAACCCCAAACCAGAGCAGCAGGGCCAGGAAGAGGAGTCTGCATAGCATTTGGCAGCAAAGATCAACAGGGACTCTGTCAGCTGGAAAGAGGAGGGAGTCTGCTAGCATCCTAGGTGCTCTTCTAAAGGGCCAACCCACAGGAGCTCACGCTTGGGGACTTACCCGTGGCTCTGGTAGAGGGGAGGTGACTCAGGGCATGCAGAGGGATAAAAAGAGGATCTGGGTGGTGTGGCTCTGGGAGAGCTCTGGCAAGTCGGCTACTGAGGTTCTGGTCCTGAGTCAACATACCACACTGCTCCATCTCTCAGGGTCAGGCATTCCTATTCTTACAGCACCAGTTGGGGAGGGCACTACCGTGGCATTCCAAATACTGGTGACAGCACTCTACCAAGCTCGAGTCCGGCAGAAAGGACTATTGGCAGACACAGAGGAAACAGTGAATAGTATGGTAGCTGCAGACAGGTAACCCAGGGCCAATTATTCACATTTGACATTGACCCGCACCAGAGCCCAGGCCAAGGAGGCCCCAAACCAAGGTAACCACTGGTAGGCTTCAAACCACACAATAGCTTGGCCCAACTAGCCACACAAATGGCATTGCCAAAGGGAGACTTCAGCAAACACCATACCCTGCTAGAAAGAGCTCTGCTTCAGAGGCAGCTCCTGAATAGCAACTCATACACAGTGAATGAGGTCTATCCTTATAATCAGCCAGCTTGAGAATTAGCTGTACCCATGAATGTGCCAACAGCATTTAAGACTCAACTACAATAGGAGAGAGCACATAACCCACACAAGAATTATTTCTTGAGCATCTAGTTCAGGTAATCTAGAAGATTCTGCCCCTGAGACCCATAAGGCACCTACATCAGAAAGCCCTCATAACAAGCTTGGGAGTCATAGAAGATCTACCTAATACACAGAGACAAGCACAAAAAAAGGAGACAAAATGGGGAGACAAAGAAATATGCCCCAAATAAAAAAATAAGAGAAATCCCCAGAAAAATAATAAAACAAAGTGGAAGCAATCAAAATACCAGGTGCGGAGTTTAAAACTATGGTTATAAGGATGTTCAAGAACCTGAGGGCTCTCCCAGCGATAACTTCGGACAAACAGTTCAGCCTTTGACTCCACACAGATAAAAACACCTGTAAGCAATGCTTTGTCCAGTAGTTCTATGTGCTGATTTCTAAAATCTGTAATAATCCATCAGGCTACCTGAAAATAAATAATGTTTGCTTCACCTTGTTGTTTATAGTTCTGTGCTGTATGCTTAACTTGTGTAGATGTATTTCTATGAAGTAAATCGTTAATTCTCTATGAAAAAAAAAAAGAAGAAGAACCTGAGAGGATGAATGGATGATCTCAGTGAGAGCTTAAACAAAGAGATAATAAGCATTAAAAAGGACATAGAAGAAAAAGAAGAAAAAAAAGAAACCATAAAAAAGAACCAATCAGGAATGAAAAATACACTATCTGAAATGAAAAATACACTAGAAGGAATCAACAGCAGGTTAGATGAAGCAGAGGATTGAATCAGCAATTCAGAGGACAAGATAATCCTAAGCACCCAAGCAGAGCATCAAAAAGAAACGAGAATTTTTTAAAATGAGGAAAGTCTGCCATGGCCAGTGTTGCTCAGTGGTTAGAGCATCGGCCCCTGCACCAAAGGGTTGTAGGTTCTATTCCTAGTCAAGGGCACATACCTGGGTTGTAGCTTTACTCCCGCCCCTGGTCAGATCATGTATGGGAGGCAACCAGTAGATGTATCTCTCTCACATCAATGTTTCTCTCTCTTTCTTTCTCTCCACCTCCCTCTCTCCCTTCCACTCTCCCTGAAAAGCAAAGGAGGAAAAAACCCTCAGGAAAGAAAAAAAATTAAAAATTAGGAAAGTTTAAGGGACTTCTGGTGCAACATCAGGCATAACAACATCCACATCATAGA